ATTTATGTCAATTTTAAAAACCTTAAAAAATTCTCTTATGAGATAGTTTGAAGTTTATAAAAACCTATTGAAAGAAAATTTTTATAATGCTAGTACTACGGAATACCTTAGTAAATATTTTATAATTAATATTAATTTTTTTATGTTAAAATTTTTTTATATAAAATCTATAAAATTTTTGCAATAAGTTTGATGTATGAAAATTAAATATGATATAAAGCAAAAAAAAATGTGATAAAATATTTTAATAAAATATGACACGAAAATGAAAATAAAATATTTTATAAAAAGTTTTGAATTAAATTTAATAGAAAAGTTGAAAAATTTAATAAAATCTGTTGACATTGACGACATATTGTGAAAGGAAAAGTTTAGTATTCAATAATTTAAACTAAAATATAAAAAAAAAAATTTTAAAAAGGTTATGGTATAAAAAGTCAAAAATGAAGAAAAATTATTAAAAATATTTCAAATTAGTTATTTATAGAAATATTTTGGATTTAAAAGTAATCCAAATTCACAAAGATATTCCCAAAAGGTTGCGAAGTATCATTACCTCTTCTATTAATAATAATTTCCTATTTAAATGTTTTTTATTTTATGTTAAAAATATATATTTTATATATATAATATATATATTATATATTTTATATAAGAATTTTTTTATTTTTATATTTTTTAATTTACAATTTTTTTATCCTTAACTCCAATCCATATGCAGATAGCTCCATTCAATAAGAAGAGCATCGAAACTACGTTTGTAAAATGATATACAATACTTGAGCCGTGAAGATCCTTTGGGCTGTAAATCGGGTTCGTTTAGAAAAAGTTAGTAATATTTAAGGTACTCACAACGTCAAGCTCGAGAACTATAAGTCTAAGTCTAAAATATAGAAAATGTTCTCAATGAAGTGGGCAAAAATTGTTGTTAGTAAGGCCATACAAAGCAGTTGATTGGCGCAAGTAATGTGACCAGTGATAGCACTAATCAGTAACATATAGTTCTAGTGATGTAAAGTCACAACAACACATATAGCTTCTCCAATGTTCTCAGGTTAGACTCATTTGTTGTGCTAAAGGCCATAGTGCATGTTTCATTTATTACTCGTATTTTATTCAAAATAAATTCAACTGTCAACAACTAATTTGACAATAGATTTAGATAAGTCGAGAAGAGTTTTCGTTCCTCAAAGCAGCGTAATGAAACCAGTTTCTTTGTGTTCTTCAACTATTTTGTTCTAGCTTAGAAGAATGGGTCTACAAATATTAAGGTCTTATTTTCTGTCTGTCCTAATTCTGGAATGGTGTTGCATCTGCTGGTACAATCTTCCACTTACATTCCGAAGAGGTGGTTTAGTGGGTTCATGTCTCACACGGTGGCTTTCGATGCTTCCACCTACTGCAAAAAAATAAAAAAAATCAGCTACTTTGTCTCCTGATATGCCAAAACAGACAAGAAGTCATCCATTCCGACTAAACCATAATTTGCTAAGCCATTGTTACTATTTTATATGTACTAATTAAGTAAATGAACGTAATAAGTAAGTAGATGAATAATACCAGACATTTCCTTCATAGCATTTTCACAAATCTACTAACTATTTCACTCATAGTAGTCTAAATAGTGTTATGATGAATAAACAATTAAAAATATATCTACGATGCCTCTCGATGAAGCTATGGTGTCTTAAATTCTGATAGTGGCGGTCTTTGTAATTGCGAATTTATTTTATAAATAAATTTCACTGTTTAATATAATTTCGTTAAAAATAAAACTGTACACTTTTTCAATATTATATGCTCTTCTTGCAATCTTAAATATATTTTACACACTCATAAATATATAAGTAGAACACTTCTATATATACCAGGATTTATTTACTAAACACCGAAAACATACATGTTATCAAAATATTCTTCATTTACATTCTGAAGTTTCAACACTTTTTATGCTAAAAACTATTATAAAAATATTGTTAGTATGTAACATATTGTGTTGTACGCAAGCACTATTTTAATCTTATTTTAAAATTAAATGAAAATCTAAGTAGTAGCAATTAAACCTTTTTTTTATTCAATTTATGGGGTTGATATATGGGGTGATAATACTTTAAATTTGACTTTTTTTAATGTGTTTCTAAAATACGCGTACTTATTTTCATTTTATGCAGATAGACATCTGCAGATGGGTATGGTATGTATACCACCGGGTCTTTAAGAATATCAATTGGAGATATAGTAAATAGCACTGTAGCTTTATAAAAGGCTCTTTGTTCATTGGATTTATATCAATAATAAAACATAAATATATAAATTAATAGTTTTATTATAAATTATTTTATTTAAAACTTCATGCGCTGTAATATGTTTTCATGTTAAAAAAGTGCTATCGTCTATTCTTCACATTTTTCAGTTATTTCAATTCCGGTTAGAAATATTATGGTCCTTGTCGATTTTATGTTACTTATGTAAAAAAAAAAAGACTTAGTTCCAACATTTTAATTTCTATTTAGTTGCACATTTCTTGTCAATGTAAAAAGAACGGAAGCAAGTCGAACAATATTAAAAAAAATTGCCAAGTAAACCTTGACCTTTGACTATAGAAAATAAATCGCATAAAAATGCCAACGTATGTTCTTGTATTACTAAATCTGAAAAAAAAGGCAGAACCACACAAAAATGGGCACGAAAGAGAACTGAATTTTAGAATATGCGCTATGCCATATTTAAGCTGCATTTCCAATGTCAGTAACAACAGTAGACAACCTAACTAAGTAGCCAACGAACGAGGCAATCAGCCAGCCAACCGTCCAACCGATGTACTAAGTATTCAGCAAAAGTTCTGAAAGTCAAAGTAAAACAAAAAATTACACGTCAAGAATTGTTAACGAAAAAAATTATTCTTTCAAATGCAGCAGTCGAAATTTCGAATGCCCATCCTTGTCCATTGCAGTTTGTCGAAAATAATTTGTTTCCGATTTTAGAAATTTTATTTAATTTCACATAGTTTTATTTTATATATATTTTATTATACGCTATTTATAATCGTTTTTCTTTTGTGGTTAAAACTTTTCACATGAGTGTATACTCTTGTATTTTATAAGGTTGCAATATTTTATATATAAAAGTTTTGAATTTTTTACTTTTTACTGCAACCGATACAAATTGACCAACTAAAGAGGGATTAGATTTAAGAACTTTAAACTATTTTTATTGCCAGACATCGGTTCGAGGTAATCCACTGGTTTAGTTTAAATTAAACGTTATTTTTGTTTTGGCTTGGACTAATCTACTGTTCTTATATTCATCAGTGAACATTTTAATATCGATAAAGATACTGAATATAGTTTTAATTGGATTAATTGAGATGCATAGCTTTCTGACTTCTTTGTGACACTAATTAGGGGCGTGTTTAAGAAAATTTAAAATAGTTTAATGCCACTGCGTTCGTATCCACTGCTTCAATGAGTTAATTATGTCTTGAATATTGAGGAACCGACTGCTTGAAACAATTTCCTGAATTGTCAATGAACATGATACACCCAAGATTTGACTTTAAGAATGAATCTGAGCTGAAGTTAGTATTAAAAATAAGTAGGAAAAGATAAACTAGAAGGTAATAATCTGATTACTGATGGTCTACTCATTGGTAAAAGAGCTCAGTTTGGAGTCTTTGACCCGGGCATAAGATATTCGAAATACTAAGGTGTAAATATTACCATACTTTAAGTGAAAATATACTCGATCGATAGATGAATTTAGACATATATACCGAAATAAAAGAATTCTCATCTTGATAAACAGCTAGGGAACCATCATGACACTTAAATCTAATCAAGTAATGTAGTGATAGAGTGTAAAAAGAAGCTGAACATATTACACCTAATTAATCAAGCATTGATCTTTAGGTTGTCGTTGCATGCTAGGATAGACGACAATGCATAGACAGATAAACTTGCACATGAAAGAGCGGAATCATTGCTTTTATGACTAGGAAAGAGTAATAGTTCCCCACTTATCAAAAAAGAAGTAAATAAAGAAAGATTATACTAGATAAACCTACCAATATAATGAATAATAAAACAAAAAAAAAATATAATTGGATCATTTCAACAATTACTCAAAACATAACAAATCAAACCACCACTTAAATAAATTGGGAATCATCTCCAATGGAATTTGAAGATGCTGGAAACAGAAAAAGGATGCCATGAAGAATGTGTTGGAAAGCTGTGTCCAAAAAACAAAACAAGAATAAAGAAGTCTTAAACAAAAATTAACTTTAAAATGAATCTTCGAAAAATAGGACAGATATTAGTCTTTATTGAAGAGATTGCATGTAGTGAGTCACTCGAAATCCAAGTAGGGGGACCCAATAGATGTTAAGGTCGTAATGCAATATTCACTCTTTATGATAATAATAATAACTTTCGTAATGCTCTGTTCTTATTATATTTTTTGATAAAAAGAAATATATTCTGGAATTTGCAAATGAATGCCTTTTTTATTATTTTTTATTATATATATTTTTATTATGCGACCTAAATATTTATTTAATAAACTAATTCTTATAACACATCATGTGCTTCAGAATGTATAATGTTAACATTATAATATCGGTTAAGATAGTGAACCTTCTTTTCTGTTTAATATATCTATATTCCTTTTAACCCAAGATTATTAACAAATTATTAACAAAGTACGATCTTGAAATTGTCCAAATGCACTTTTAAAGTATTTTATATATTATTGCATTTCTAAGATTTGATACAGAATATAGTCAAGTAATTATTTAAAAAAAATTAGGATTGTCTTATGTTTAGTTAAGGAATAGATTTTGATCTATATGAAATGAAGTATTTTTTTTTATTATTTTTCTTATATAATTTTTATTTATTGACTATAGATTATAAGAGAGAAAAATTTTTTTAAGCATAAGAAAACTATTTAATCTGTTTAAATCACTTTTATTTAATTAAATCAAATTAGTGGATGGATTGATTAACAAAAAATTTATAAAAAATAATATTCCTTGTGAAATTAACAATAGTAATTCTACAATATTTGTATTTAAATTAACCTATAAACACTAATAAATAAAGAATAAAGAAATGGTTATAGAAAAGCGCTTTTTCATTCTATATGTATTCATTATTTCTTATCTATATAATGTTTTGAAATTTTGTTAAACGACAGTAATGATTTAGTATATCGAGCACTTATACTCTGGATCCATTGGTGCATCTTGTTTACACTCAAAAACCCAAGAAAACTCTTGAAAGTTTGACAATGGTCCAATAACACGATACTTTCCTGGTGCATGCATATCCTCCGAAGCGACAGAAGATTTAAATAAAGTTTGCACATCATCACACCACATCTGCGCAAAGCTCAAAAAGAACAATTGACGATTATTAAAAGCTAAACCCGGCAGTGCTTCCAATTCTTCTATATCAGGTTTTTCTTTCTTTTGTGAGTTCAACCAATTAATATAAGAAGCATAGGCTATTTTTACACCTGCATTATCTGCTATATTTTCCGATTGTGATACACTCTCTGGCAATTGTGTACCCCCGTATTTGTAACTATGATATTGTGCCTGGAAACACTTACGTCGTTCATCAAATTCATACTGAGATTTCGCATCCCACCAATTATGTGTTTTACCATTCTTATCAAGCTTATGTCCATCGTCATCGAATCCATGTACCATCTCATGTGCGATAAGTGTGCCTAAAGTAGCAAATTTCAGCACTTCTGGAGAAGTATCATCCCAAAAGAAACGTGGTTGTAAAAATGCCACTGGTATTTTGATATTATTTTCGAGTATATTATATGCCGGAGTAAAAGACAGCACCTCTGTGGCATCAATGCTGGCAGCAGTACTATTAAGTTTGCTAAATTTATTACTACTTTCTCGCATAAGTATTTGTTGTACATTTTTAACATAATTCAAACGATCAATTTCCAACTCACCATAGTGTTCAGTAAAGTTCTCATTATCATATGAATTAATAGCTAATTTCATTGTATCTAATTTTTCAATAGCATAAGTACGTGTGGAGTTGGAGATCCAATCCAATTTATCGCCTAATAAATTTTTACGGAATGTGTCACGTATCTGCGTCCATACATCATACACTTCTTGTTCAGCCTTATCGCTTCTATAGCTTTCATAAATCATGTGATCCACAAATTTGCCAAAATATTTCTTCGTTTTATCTATGCACCAACTTAATAGGTCATCCTCATCCGCTTCAATCATATACTCTTGCAGCAGTTGCCAAATTATATAATTTGCAATAGTGCGTTCAGATGCTTCGTGCAAGGTTTGAATCGAGCTATCAATATAATCCTCATCATAGACATAAATTTCATTAGGTGGTTCTGTACCTAGAACAATTTGCAAGTACTTACGTAGATCAAAATTTTGTGAGGCGTATAACATTTGCAGTTCATCAACTTTTCGCAATGTCAGCAGATCATTTAAACCAAGACCAGAGCGAGCATTCGAAGCACCACGTATTAGTTTCTGTTCGAACAAAAATATATCTTTGGCGGTTTGTTTGGCAACACTATGTTCCACACCAAGCACTTCTTCCATACGCATTGAAGCGCTGACTTCTTGCAAAATATTCAATATTTTTGTACTTGAAGTGGCGGTAAACTCCGGTGGTCCCAAATAAATGCGATTTTGATCACTATTTCGTATATCCTCAAATACATCCACAGCAAACAAAATTTGATGCCCATATTTATGTTGAATTTTAGCAGCTGTTTTCCACCAATTGAAATCAGTTGCAGTTTCGTTCCACTGATCACCAATCAGTGCAGGCAATGATCCAAACTCCTTATATAGGTTTTCCAATGCCAAACTGTATTGTATCTTATTACTTTTCACCACCGAACAGGCTTGATAAAAATCACGCACTTTATCTTCGAGGTCATTACCACTTCGCGGCAAGTTTAGAAATCTCTTCAAACGCCTATCGAATACTTGAGCTATCATTTGGAATCTATCCGTCATAATGCTCGTGAACAACTGTGCAGGATTGCTGCGATGCCAGTTGCCACAAGCGTATGTATAGAAGTCTTCACATGGATTCGCTTTTGTATTAAGTAGGCTGCTTATTTCAGCTGTTCTGGAGAGACGTAAAATTTGTTTTGCAAAACTTGAACTAAAATCAGGATTACTTTTATTATTGTTATTTACAGCAATTGGATTGTTCACCGGTACTGCAAGCGATATTTTCAGATAAAAAAATATAAGTTGACAGGACCAAAAGATGATTCTTAATTTATACATTATTTTTATATGTACTTTTTAAAACATGAAAAATTATTCAATGACTCCCGACATTTACAACAGCGCGATCAGACCAAACTGATTATATGCAATTGATCATCGGTCTCGCAGCGTTTCTTATCTCTTTTCTATTTTGCATGTGTTGAAATGTGGTAGGTCATTCTGTCTTATCAGTAATAATAATTAAATGGAAAGAAGTCGAATCTTTTAAAATTGTATAAACAAAATATATTTTTTACTTTAGTTCACTTTGTTTTATTAATTTTTGTCCCAAATTTAGGAAATAGCAAAACAAAAATTAGCATTTGTTTTGCGAATAGATGTCAATTATGGACTATTTATTTACTAATATAAAATCCAATTTAATTATTATATATTATGTTTTGAAAATTATCTTAAGTGGGTGCTATATAATGTAGTCGACTAAATTCTCGCAATAAAATGCAAACAAATTTTTTCTTCTTCTTATACAAACGAAACAATAATAATGCATATTAATCATATTTCTATAAAGTTTTGCTCTCCAGACACAAAAATACACTAAAACACACTACATTCGGAAAATGATCGCTGCAAAACTTCACTACATTTGTAAGAAAATCGTTTAAAGGTTCACTACCATCGTGAAAAAAAACACTAACGGGAACATCGGCAGGGCACGAGTTTGATTCGTTATACTTGCAGACTCAATAAATTATTTACGAAAAATTAAATATAAGAATTACTTCCAAGACCACTGATGATGGGTATTTGGCAATACTCGAAACAGCTGTATGATCAGCCAAAAATTCAATTAATTAAAATAATATAAAATAAATTTTTGTTGTTGTAGTTCACTACTGTTCGAAAAAACCTTTTTATAAAATTTAAATATTCGTTAAGGGCAAGGTTTTTGAACTTTTTTTATTTAAAATATGTTTATATTAAAAAAGAAATTTTTTAATATTTTTATAAATCACATACAACTTTGTGCATATAAAAAAAAATAAAATATATCTTTCTATATTTTTATTTATATATATTTTAAAAAATTTAAATAATTATTAACATCAAGGTTTTTAACTTTTTAAAAACATCATATTTACATATTAAAAAATTAATGTTTTAATATTTTTATAAATCATATAAGATTTTATGCATATAAAAAAGGATATATCTTTTTTATATCATTATTTTTATTCTCATATATATTTTTACAATTTATTTAACTAAATATATTAGCTATAAACAAACTTTAATAACAAAATTTTTGAACTTTTTTTAGTGAAAATATTTTTAAATTAAAAAATGAATTTTTTATTATTTTTATAAATCATATAAGATTTTGTGCATTTAAAAAAAGATATATCTTTTTTATATCATTATTTTTATTCTCATATATATTTTTACAATTTATTTAACAAAATATATTAGCTATAAACAAACTTTAATAACAACATTTTTGAACTTTTTTTAGTGAATTAAATTAAAAAATGAATTTTTTAATATTTTTATAATTCATATAAAATTTTGTGCATATAATAAAGAAAACCATATTAAATTTGTGAATATGAAAATTCTTTATTATTTTTCCTCCTGTGGATATTGCATTTACCTTGAATTGAGTATCTTAAAGTGGACTCTTTGGCATTTGATATTGCTGTGCCTGTGGCTTAAGTACGTATCATTTAGCAGAGAACAGAGAACAGTCATTTCATTGTTGCTCTATGCGGTTGATTTAAATCTCTTGTATTGTATATAGCATAAGTAGCGAATAAAAAGTGCAGACGTTAGCAGTTGTGCTTAGAAGCTAACCTTCTAATGGATAACGTGATTTGAACGTTCCCATGCCATTTCAGTTAAATTTATCTACATTGCAAATAGCAAGCAATCAATGCTAAACTAAAGCAGTTCAAGTAGCAATCACTCACTTTTGCCCTACGGATGCTGTAAAATATTAAATTTGTGCTCTCATAATGGCTGTGAGGAAGTGCTTGCATTAAGCAGCTGCATCGGTAAGTAGGAAGTGCTTGCAGCGCTCATTTCCAAATTATCAATTCAAACCTAACCAACTGGAATATATCAACTAGAAAGTTCAAAATTTTAAATTTAAAACAGAAAAGAAAATAAAAATATTCAAAGAATTTTAAATATAGTATATATATTTTAACACAAAAAACAAACAAAATTGGTAAAATTTAGTACTCATTTTGTGGCATTCAAAATATTTTACGTACCTTATAGAAATATTTTAACCAGTACATGCATTACTGGTCAAGGCCACTCGACCAAAATGGAACGAGTGTGCATTTTGGACTGAAGTGCACATTTATTATTTATATATTAAATTTTTTGTGTAAATACTTTGCATATGAAATTTTTATATATTTTAAATTTGCTCCATTTTTCCATATTCATATCCATATATGGTATGTTGAGGTTGACAAGGGATTTTGTCGTTTTACACGCACTATTAGTGAATTGAATTAAAGCTGCGGTGCTGTAAAAATTACTAGTTTGCTTTGGTTGTTCTTATTTTATATTTTCTCAACTACATGCATAAACTCGTGGTTAAACTTAGGTTAGGAACAGCAGTTGTACTATTTGGTGCTAACATATGAGCCCTTCATACACTTGTTGGTGCTTACAATGTATGGAGCAATTTTTACACGATTTTATACATAAGCACACAGATTATTAAACCTTTCAATCACAAAATAATTTATGAACGAGGTACGAGGTTAGCAACACACTCAGGCACACGCAAATGTGCAGTTTCGAACCTCGTCTGTAGCAAATGGCGTACGTGGCTGCTGCCATATTGCTTCAATGTATGCAACAACGCCATTTTATTAGCACTGTCAGCCATGTCAATCTGATGATTATTTGTGTACTTAAGCGTAGATATTGTACAATACGAGTATACCATATAAAAAAAAATATGCACAAGCTTTCACTGGGGAAATTTACGTGTTACACAAAATGTAGTACGCCACAAAACATGTAACGGTTAAAGGAACATGTAAATACACATAATGTATGCTTTTTTTCTGCAAATAAATAACAGGTCCTTAAGCACACTTAAAAGGATTCTGGCATGCATTGTGTATTTAATAAAAGGAATTTATAGGCCAACTAATTTTTTATTAAAACAAATAGTATTTATTTTGTAACAAAAGAATGTCCTTGACCCAAAAAAAAAACAAACCAAAAAACAAATTTAATTTTCTTTTTTTTTATATATATTTAGGAAATCAGGAAATGAAATAAATATAAATTAACAGAATTGGGTCAAAAAAGTGTAAATATTCAATTATTCGGTGCGCTGACTCTGAGCTTTAAAGTTGGTAGAACACGAGTTCGATTTCTAGTACTTGCAGTCTCAAAAAAATTATTTACGAATAATTAAATACAATAATTATTTCTAAGACCACTGATGATGGGTTTTTGGCAATACTCGAAACAGCTGTATGGTCAGCCAAAAATTCAATTAATTAAAATAATATAAAATGAATTTTTGTTGTTGTAGTTCACTACTGTTCGAAAAACCTCTTTAAAATACACTAAATGTTTTGAAGAAGAAGAAAATCTTATGAAGAAATTTAAAAAAAAGGTTGTAAATAATCATTAAAATAAAAAAACTTATTAATTGATTTTTATTTTTATTTTATATAGTTATCTTTGTAATGAAAATTTCTAACTAATGAACACTAACTCTGAGCTTTAAAATTGGCAGCGTACGAGTTCAATCCTTGGTGCTTTCATAAACATAAGAATTAATTCAAGACCACTGATAATGAGTATTTGGCAATACTCGAAACAACTGTATGTTTAGCCTAAAATTCAATTGATTAAAAATAATAAAAAAATTTGTTGTAATTTCAGTACTGTTCGATAAAAACCTCTCCATTGAAAACAATAGTTTACTTTATTCAATATGAATTTAATACAGTAAATTATAAAAATACATACATATGTATATGTTGCTAACGTTTCGAAGTTTATTTAGTTAATATAAACTGAATAAAATAACAATAGTATATAGACGAGCTGGATCAATTGAGTTCTACCTATGTTACTTTTAAACAATAAATATAGTCACTATGAATTGAATATTGTATTTTAATTTTAAGTATCTTAATTTTAAGATACTGAGGAGGATTTTTGTTATCATTGCGTATATTCTATTTTGAACGTATATTTAAAGTACCATTAATAAATTATTAATACCTAGTACTGATTTAATATATAACATATAGGTCACTTTACAGTCGATAATATTGTAGAAAAAATGATAGAACGAGCAGAAAATTGGAACAATTTTCATCGGAAATATTTTAAGGGAAAAGAAGAAAGATCTAATCTAATCTAATCTAAAACGAAGAGCAGGAGTGAGAGCCGGAACACATATTCTGATATTGAAAAAAGTAGACTATAGGGCAAGATTAATTATCTGCAACAGTAGCGGGGCCTGGACGCAGGGCACACCGATGGAAGTCTTAAATGATTAATAGGGACCCTACCTCGAAGTAATAGTAACGTAGTCCCGGGGTTGAACAAGGTCTCTAGGAATGAGGGGGAGTGGTTTAGCCCGTGCGAGTCGGGCACTCACCTGGTCAGTACGTAGGCATTCCACTCCTCTTTGCCGCAAAAAAAAAAAAAATACTGATTAAATACTCAAAGCGCAAATAGTTAAGTAATCATCATAATAATTTCTATAAGTAGAATCACATTTCACAAAAAATTGAAATAATAAATAAAATATTATTTACTTAAAATATCAAATTTATACACATGACAGCTGTCAATTTACTTAGTCAGGAAGAATAAATGCAAAAATGGAAACAATAAATTCAGTTGTCTTCCTACAGCATGTAAAGTAAATTGTTTGTTGAGATTGTTATTTTGTGTGCGTGTAAATATGTATCTATGAAGTATCTTCTCACATATGAGATAGTTTTTTGACACAAGCGAACAGAACACACGTATCCTGCAACGTATAGAATAACAATTTGAATAAATATTTTTGCTAACAAATGATTAAATTGAGAGAAAAAAATAAAAAAAGAATATTTTTTGATAT